TTAATTTGGTAATATTACTTGATAGATTCTTTGTTTAATTGGTCATTTATTTTTAGTATTAATTATATATTAAACTTGATTAACTCTTTCAAGTTCATGAAGTTCAGCAGTAAATATATCATCATATTCATTTAGTAATTAATTTAAAGCTTGATCTTGTTCTATTGTTAATTCATATTATTTAATTAATTTATTATCCTTTTCTTAATTTAAGAAATAGATTGTTATATCTTTATTATTAATAAATTTAAATCTACCAGTTTTATGACTAATTTATTCTAGTTCTTGTCAAGTCTATACTGATTGTAATCTTTTAATAAAAACTAATTGTAAGAATACTGTTTATATAATTTTATCATTCAGTTGAATTATATAGTCATTATCAAATCAAGTATATAAAATAACACCAATATTTTTAGTATAATCTAAATTAATAATTTTGTTTTTAATATCAATTCCTTTTAGAGCAAGAGATAATCATGATATCAATTAATATTAGTATTTCTATGAACTGAACTAAACTAAACTTTTATTCAAGTTCAAGTTTGGTTCAAAATTTAAACTAAACTTGAACCAGACTTTGGCTTGAGTTCAAAAAAAGTTTGAAGTTCAAATAAAATTTAAATAGAACTATTATATGAGTTTGAGTTTGATTTGAGTTTGATTAAAGATTGGCATATAGTATCATATACTGATTTGTAGCTCTAATATAAGCTATAACTTTACTTATAAACACAATTTATAATATTTAGTAAGAATTAAAAGTTTATATAGTAATGACTAAAGTATTTTTATTTTTATGTTTATTAAATTTGATTGTAAATACTATATAACTCTTTGAATAATTATTATTAATAATAATTATCTTATTCTAATTTATAGCTCTTAATATAAGCTATAATTTTACTTATAAGTATAATTTATAATATTTAATAAGAATTAAATATTTACATAGTGATAACTATTTTTATGTTTATTAAATTTGATTATAAATACTATATAACTTTTTGAATAATTATTATTTATAATAATTATTATATATCAATTTGTAACTTTTATTTCTGATTACAACTTTACTTATAACTATAATTATAATTATTATAGCAAAATAAATATTTATTATACTAAAATTAAAGCAAATTAAAATTATAATAATTAAAATTATTTTTTAAATTCATATAACTTCTTAAATATTTATCCTGAATATTAACTATCTTATATTAATTTGTAGCTTATGTTACAATTTACAACTTTACTTAGAATATCAACAAATATTTACTTGAACTCAACTGAACTTTTGATCAGATTTGAGTCAAATTTGAAATTTGAATCAAACTCAAATCAGATTTTTAATTAAATTTGAATTTTTGAACTGGATTTTTGATCAAATTCAAGTCAGTTCAAGCTCAAACTGAACCAGACTTTTTTTCAGAATTCTAGTTGATATACTATTCTTTCAGGTATTCTATTGCAATGAAAATATTAATCACATTTATTTATTGTAATTTGATGACAAGTAATTCTTTTCCAGTATATTTGATATTAAAATTAGTATTATTTTTATGAACACATTCTGATATTTGATTTTTGTCTTCATTATTATAAACTTTAATGACAAAAAGTATGTCTTTAATTTTATTATTTGCAGTATGTATAGTTATTATATTATCTGAATAATATTTATCAAGAGTTTCTTTACAAGATTTATAAATATTTTCTTCATTTTCTAAAATCTTACTAGTTTTTTTTATTTGATTAATTTTGTTTTGAGTTTCTTTGCAAAGTTGATAAAATTTATTGAGTATATTTTGTAAGTTGAAAATATTGAAAGAAATAAGTAATTCAATTTTGATTTTTTTTAGTTTCAGATATATATATTGACCAGTTTTTTCTTCTTTAATTATAGAATACAGTAGTGCTTTGTCTTTATTAATTTTTGAAGATGGTTGATTATAATAACTTGTTTTTATAATTTATAATTATTATAATAGATTGAATAACTAGGAATAAGATATTTTTTGTATAGCTTAATATTAATGAATTCAAATTTGACTAATTATAATCATTATTTTAGAGTAATCTGTTAATAAATAGAGTGAAAAATTTCAGTTGCTAAGACTTTTTCTGAGTTATTATATTTGTTATATTCAATTTTATTTACAATATCTTCCTCTTGAATATATTAAAATAGTATTATTTATCTAATTTTATTACAAGCCAAGTAAATATTAAGTAAAAAAAATCTTTCTCAAAGTTTTCTAATAGTTACAGTATTTTTATATCAGTCTTCATAATTGAACCAAAAGATGTATTGATATTTATAAGTACAGAAGTATCATTTTTATAACTATTAGTAATATACATATTTCTGACTTTGTCATAATCTTCACAATAAGAGCAATCAGATAAGTTCAAATATTTTTCTTTAATATATTCATTACATGCTATTGACTTTTTACTATTCATTCAGAAGTATACTCTGATATAATATTTATCAATATATTTTTCACACTTTAAGTATTATTCAATTTAATAACTGAATAAATTTAATATAAGATATTTTTATAAGTATCAAATTTTTCTTTTACTTGATTTTTAATAAAGAGTTTTTGTTCAATTTCAGCAGTCTAGTTATCACTAGTTTTATATTCAGCTCAATATGATTTGTAAGTTCAATAATGATTCAATTAGCTAAATCATTATAACATTAGTAACAATATTGTTCTGGAGTATATAATTGATTATGGCATCAATATTTCTTATTTGGATCTTTTTAATCAAAAAACTATTAGCTTTCTTATTTATATAGTTATTGAAATTTTTTACTGAGTTAATTATAATTATTCCAAGTAAATTTTCTTTGTTATACTTTGATTTCTTCTTAATATACTTATATATTATCAATTTGGCACTTTGAATAATTCTGGCTGGCATATTTGGGTGATCAATATATTTTAGTTCTCTTTTGTGAGTCTCAACTGGAGTTCAAGTTTTTTCAAGTATTATATTTATGCTTTCATTGAATTGTACTTGAGATCTGTATAGTTGAACTACTGTCCAATCATTATGATTAAGTATTAGAAAGTTTTAACTTTCTAAGTGTTGTTTTTCGAATTCTTCTTCATCAATTGAGAATTCATGTTACAGTAATAATCATTTTTCTAATTTTACCAAAATAAATAATTTTTAATATTATAATTTTTTATAATAGAGATAATATCAATAAGTAATTTGTGCATAATCTAATTATTATTAATTCAATAAAGTATAATAAACAAATAACTAAGATTATTGCAAGCTGTCCATGAATCAGTTGTAATTACCATTTTTCTTGTTGTTGTATTTAAAATTTGCTTAGAAATATATGTTGTTTTCATGAATTATTTTAATTTGATTTGATATTGTTTGGTGAGTTTGTAGTTTATATCATGAATCAAGCTCATTTAAAAGTTCACAAAAATCAGAATTTTTAACTACTATAAATGATCATTGATTACAAATAATCCATTTTAAAAGCAAAAAGACAATATGTATAACTTTCACTTCATCCTTTAATTCACAAGATGCAATGACTTTAAGTGAAAAGCATAATTGACTATAAACGTTATTGTGATATTTAATAAAATGCTGAGATTACTAACAAAAACAGCAAGATGTTTTTCTTTAATGTTTACAATTTTCTTTATTTTTTATCACTTCAATTCTTATCCCTAAACCGTAAAGTCGATGTTTATATAATCCCAGCGGTCCGGATGATGTCAAATAGACATTCCTTGACACAAAAATAAATATGGGTGCAGGAACTCTTAAATCGACAGCTTGTTAAAAATTCTATCAATTTCTTAACTAAGAAGTAAATACAAAATTTAACAAGGTCAAATTTTGGATTTACTCTTAGGTAAAAAGTTGATAGAATTTTTAACATGTGATAGTAGATTTAATTAGTAGACGAAATTAAATTTGACGAAATGGCAAAACTCATGACAAATTGTTTTGGCTTATAATAATTAGTGACGAAATTAATTTTTTGCTGGAATATCATTCTAAAGTACAGTCAAAGTCCTTTACAACGGCGCTGTATACATCGGGTTCGGCTTATACCGTATTGATATCCCGATTTTTACGATTTTTAACTATTTAAAACTAATATTTTGTTCATTGTACACTGCTATTTCGTTCATTGTACACTACTATTTAGCTCATTGTACTGTACTGTATTGGAAAAGGGTTGGTGTATGGGTTCGTAATATAGGTTCTCTTAAAGATTTATCGAATTACATGTAGCATAGTACAGCACAACAAACTAGACAGTACAGTTAAAGATACCTGACTAACTATTCTTGAATTGGCTAATGGTTTCGTCACCTCGCAATTTATAATAAGCTATACAGTCAAAGTCCTTTACAACAGCCGCATTGGATTGACACTTTTGGGGTGGTATATAGGGCTTGTATTATAAACTTCGCTATATATGGAGTGTACAATGAACAAAATAGTAGTGTACAATGAACAAAATAGTACAGTACAATAACGAATAGTGCAGTACAGGATAGCAGTTTTCTCAGTATTTACGTTTCTCTCAAAAAGCTCTGGGTGTGGGGAACTGATCCATTGTTCGAAAATGCAATTTTATTCATAATTTTCTATTAAACACACTCACATGCATAGAATAGTGGCAATTATAGGAGTATGCGTTAAGGGAAGTGTATCAGATGAATAATCGGATGAGTATGGTACATACTACATGTACTCTAATCCCCTTTCCGACCTGACAATACTTCTTTTGAATTTCCGACTCTGTTCCTTTATGTAATACCCGTATGCAGTTATTTATGCTTAACGTATATGAATAAGTTTGACAAAGTTTAATTTTCGATTAGAAACAATAACGTCAAAGAATATAAAAAGAATGTCTTTTTCGTCTGAATTTTCAGCAAGTTGTTTATAATCAACTGAATAACAACACTTTTCTTTAATAATTTAATTTCTACACGAAAATGATGTCGAAATTCCAAACTCTCTTCTTAGTTATTTTCGCTTTGTTCTTTGCTCTCGCTTTGATTTCTCCAATTCTAGGCGATCCTGTTAGCTCTAAGCCACCTACTCCTGGAGGTCCAATTCAAGTGACAACACCAAGCGCGGGGACTTATAAGTTTAGATCATATCAAAGTGTTAGCTGGAATGCTAACGTTGATATTCCCAATAAATGGAGTAAGTAATATATGTATATGTATTCGATAAATATTTTTTCATTCTCTATATCTCACTATTCTCTCCATTCACAGACCGAACAGTCGACGTATGGATTGCCAAATATCTTCCCGGCAGTGAACCAGATATTCTCACGTACAGATGGGTCGACAAAAAAGTATACGCTATATTTTTCATATTATCTTGTATGTCATACAAATTAGCTAATTTTATACTAATTTGCCAAAATGTAGTCTTATGGAAATACCTATGCTGGATTCCAAGTCGATTTCGGTCCAGGGGTTTTCTATGCCTATGTGGTTGTTAGCGATGATGAAAATGTTTGGGGTACCGGACCTAAGTTCACAATTGAGTTATGAGAATAAACAGTAAACGCAATTGGAGGTTCGAACGAAATAGTTTTATTACCAAAATTACGCCAAATGGCTTTTTATTAAGATTGTTAATCATACCGATATTAAAATTTTGTATTTATTGTGTACGTATACAAAACGAGTTTACTTGTTTGATTAATGTGAAATCTCAATATCGATATCTAGCATTAGTGTTAGTAATAAACTCAGTATCGTCTGGAATTGACGTTTATCTATACAGCTTCAATTTATTATACGTACGTACATACAAAAATGCTTTGGATAAATATGTTGATATATGTACATGTACATTGCCTTGCATTAAGATGATGCATTTTTGTATAATACATGTATAACGATAGCGATAAGATAAATAAAAAACGTGTAGGACAAATGCAAAATACGCGTATGATAAATGTCAGACAAACATCAGTCATTTTTTTTCATAGGGCTGTGTAAATTGCGTTTGGGTAAGTTTTTATATACAGGAACACTTTTTTGTCAATTTCATCCCTTCTTATCAAGTTCTTTGAAATTCTCGTTTAAGTTCTTGTTTTTTTTAGATATTCTAAATAGACAGAAGTGAAATCAAGAAAATGTTAATTTTGTTTAAAAGGCATGTATTAACATTTACGTGGAGAATATTTCCTTATTGGATATATTAAAGGCTTACTTCTAACAGTCAAAAATTATTTCATATACTCTCCTATATGTAAAAAAACAATATTTAGATTGAATAAAATTACATTTCTTGAAAAATTAAAAATACTTGTTTTGTTTGAGATGGTTTTTATATCAACGAGCATTTTTGATAATGGAAAGATTTTTTTAATGAAGAATTTTCTCTTAAGCAATTACTTCCTTTCTTAAACATAAAATTAACTTATCGTAATTATGTTTACATTCCCCAACAACATATAACGATGAGTTCTTTTTAATTTTAATCCTTATTTCACACACATTATTCATCGTAAAATACAAGTAATGAATTAATTATTGAATGGTGTGTCTTGAAGATCACGCATCTGAATGAATATTGTACTTTCCGAAATTATATATCGATATCGATATGGTACCCAATGCCAAGTTGCTGTGTAAAGTGGTGGTGTTTTCTATCCTCTAACAGTAGTGACTATCATATGCATTGTTACATTTTCTGGACACTAAAAATGAATACAGTACGTATTTTACTTTTATTATCGTTATGCAATATCACAGGTTTATTCTATGGATCTGCATGTATTGTACATGTACTTAAATATACATATACATGTACATGTACGTATTTACTGTATATTCATTCGACTCAACAATCGTTTTTTCTAAAATTGGTACTTTTAATGATCTAATATTTTTCAAAGGACCAATTAAACAGATAGTCGATAGTGGTGCATGATCGGGTATATAATATATCGATATAATCAATGTTCTATTTAGGCATTATCTGTATCGGTATTAATAAAGAAAGATTATTTGACGCGTGTGATCCTTGAAATTGATCTACAATCTATAAAAATGTGAACAATTCAAAACCTTTCCAATACTGAAGAACAACAAATTTCACACACAAAAACACTGAGAAAATTAGTCAAACGAAAATGGTCAAACAGATCTCTCACATATTTTTTTTTGGTTACTCTCACCTTCTTCATCTTTGTCTTTTCATTGACCAATGCTATGCCAAAGGGGATCGAAAAGAGAGAAGCATGCGAACAGGAAACAGTCTACTGCACATTTAATCCTGATAACCAACACCAAGTTACAGGTCAAATTAGTTTCAATCAACTAAAAAATTGCTCTGTACTTATCAATGGACAGTTCAATACCAATTACATCAATATGATCCATATTACCTTAAAGCCTGATGTTATAGAACCTTCCATCTTTAATCTAGAAGAATATGTAAAAGATTTTAATAAGCCTTTTTATATCTCAATTTCTAAAAATCCTTTTCCTGCAGATTTTTTTACGGTCACAAAATACTATTGCGTAGCAGCGGCGGCGTTCGACAATGTGGTGGTGCTTGGATCTGCACATATCATTGTAATATAAGAGATTTATCAAGAATTTTGTTTTTTTTATTTGGAATTTTCTTGTCCTGTGAATTCTCTTCTAGATAGGTAAATTATATTGTACTATTTATCATTATCAACTAAAGGAAGTCCATAAACAATAGATATTTGACTAATTTATCGTTTATCTATTTTCACAAATAGAAGTTTATCATCCTTTATAATTATCACGGAAATAGGTCAACCATTTCAGGAGCTCGATCGTGTCCGTTTTCTTTAGCCTTTTGATACCAGATTAATGCCAGGTTGAGATTTTGTTCAATGCCTATTCCATATTGATAAAATTTTCCTAGATTAAACTGAACTTTTCTATGTCCAATTCAGCTGCTCTTAAATACCATTCGAATCTTATGCAATCATTTTTTTCTGTTCCTTCTCCATATTCATAACATAAACCAAGTCTAAAATGTGAAAGAGAACTATCTAAAAGAGATTCAAATAAATAATAATCTTCTTCAAACTCTTTGTTTTTTTCATTTCTTTCATAACTAAATCTTAGAAATAGTCGATTTTAGCAAGCTTTGAATTTGCTGCTTCAAATACCACTCGGATGCTTTTTGTTCATCTTTATTTGTTCCTTCTCCATTTTCCGTAGCAGATGGCAAGATTATATTGTGCTTCAGGAACTCCAGACTCTGCTGATTTCAAATACCACTCAAATGCTTTTTGTTCATTTTTGATTGTTCCTTCTCCGTTTTTATAGCAGTTGGCAAGATTACATTGTGCGTTAGGATATCCAAACTCTGCCGATTTCAAATACCATTCAAATGCTTTTTGTTCATCTTTGATTGTTCCTTCTCCGTTTTTATAGCAGACGGCAAGATTAAATTGTGCGCTAAGATATCCAGACTCTGCCGATTTCAAATACCACTCAAATGTTTTTTGTTTATCTTTGATCGTTCCTTTTCCGTTTTTATAGCAGATGGCAAGATTATATTGTGCTTTAGGATTTCCAGACTCTGCCGATTTCAAATACCACTCAAATGCTTTTTGTTTATCTTTGATTGTTCCTTCTCCGTTTTTATAGCAGTTGGCAAGATTATATTGTGCTTTAGGATATCCAGATTCTGCCGATTTCAAATACCACTCAAATGTTTTTTGTTCATCTTTGATTGTTCCTTTTCCGTTTTTATAGCAGATGGCAAGATTATATTGTGCTTCAGGAACTCCAGACTCTGCCGATTTCAAATACCACTCAAATGCTTTTTGTTCATCTTTGATTGTTCCTTTTCCGTATTCATAGCAGATGGCAAGTTTAAATAGTACGTCGGTATTTCCAGACTCTGCCAATTTCAAATACCACTCAAATGCTTTTTGTTCATCTTTGATTGTTCCTTCTCCGTTTTTATAGCAGTTGGCAAGCTTAAATTGTGCGTTAAGATATCCAGACTCTGCCGATTTCAAATAACACTCAAATGCTTTTTGTTCATCTTTAATTGTTCCTTCTCCGTTTTTATAGCAGATGGCAATATTATATTGTGCTTTAGGATTTCCAGACTCTGCCGATTTCAAACACCACTCAAATGCTTTTTGTTCATCTTTGATTGTTCATCTTTGATTGTTCCTTCTCCGTTTTTATAGCAGATGGCAAGATTGTATTGTGCTTCAGGAACGCCAGACTCTGCTGATTTCAAATACCATTCAAATGCTTTTGTTCATCTTTGATTGTTCCATCTCCGTTTTTATAGAAAATGTATTGTGCTTCAGGAACTCCAGACTCTGCCAATTTCAAATACCACTCAAATGCTTTTTGTTCATCTTTGATTGTTCCTTTTCCATCCATATAGCAGTTGGCAAGATTATATTGCATTAGGACATCCAGACTCTACCGATTTCAAATACCACTCAAATGCTTTTTGTTCATCTTTGATTTTCCTTTTCCATTTTCGTAGCAGATGGCAAGATGATATTGTGCGTGAGGATCTCCAGACTCTGCTGATTTCAAACACCACTCAAATGCTTTTTGTTCATCTTTGATTGTTCCTTCTCCGTATTCATAGCGGATGGCAAGATTATTTGTGCTTTAGGATATTCGGACATGTTTATATCGATATTACATGTACATGTACAAAGTATCGGTATACGTAAGGTTGCTTGCCGAAATCCCTTAGTGACTGTCTAAATTCTGTCGAAATTATAATAAACTATTAGTAAATAACTCGTCGAAATTCTGACG